AGCAGTGCAGGGGGCGGGGGCAGATGGCACTGCAGAGCCAGTGCTGGGGGAAGCCAGCTTTAAGCAGTCTCCCCTCTGTCCCACATGGGCTTCTTCTCCTCCCCTGCCTCTGTAGGAGAAAGCAAGGGGGAGGAGGCAGGACCACAGAGCTGATACACATGGGGAGCTGGCTTGAAAGCTAGCTTCCTGAGTGTATCAGCTCCAGCCCACCCCCTTCACCTTCCACACTGCTGCCTTTCTGTCAGAGGCAGCGGCGCAGAAGGCAGGGGGGGGGGTGCCTCCAACACCCCCCCCCCCCCACACGTTTTCCTGTTCACTCTTTTTGTCCTTATTTATAGAGTTGTTTTCGATAAAGAAAGGTGATAAGTATATGCCACTTGTAGTACATGCCAGCACTCCCAAATGACATTATGCTTCTCAGAATTCTGCACCAGACACAGGTAGCATGGCCACCGCAGCCACCTGTGAGAGTTCAGTGTGTCTTGCCCCAGGAGTGGGTGTGGCCATGGCCCCTCCTGGCTATACATGGTGACTAATGTTACACAGTCTTAGTTCCTACAGGATCACAAGGACTGAGATTAGATCAACCCTTCCATTGGATTTGGGGGAGGAAAGACGTGCCTTGTCCCCTGCTCCACACGTCTCGCACATTCATGCAGGGGTAGCTCTAGGAAAATCCTTTTTTTAATATTTATCTGCAAATATGAGCTTAATAATGAGTGGAAGATTTTTTTGTACAGTACTTGGGTTTTTCTCTTTGTTAACCCTTGAAGAGTTAGCGTCTTATGCTCCAATCCTACAGCCCTCCTGCAATCAGTGGTACTCTGTGCAAGGAGCCTGCCTTTGCCAGTGCAGCCTGTAGGAGTGGGATTATACTTTATGACATATCAGTAACTCTTTAAAATGTTGAATATTGCTGTGAAAATTTCTCAGCCCACTATCTAAAATTATTTGGCTACCATAATAATTACCCCCTGTATGAAATTAAAGAATTTTTAAAAGAAATGTTGGTATAATTTTAGAACTTTTTAAATTTATGAATAATAAACATTGTCAGATATTGGCAACAATGAGCACACATGTTGAACATGAAAACATGTATGTTAGAATCTGTAGAAGATCTGTCCAGAGAAATCTAGCAGCTGGTAAATAAGCCTTCTTCTATCAGCCAGGTAAGTTCAGCAAGAACTCTGCTGATTTAAAGAATTTACCTATTAGCATATTTTGGGTTTTCTTTTTTTTTTTTTGTACTTTCCAAATATTTTTTCTTTTAATAAAAAAATTGTATCATTTAAAAGCAAATTTGTGACAGATTTGGAGGTGCTCTGTAATAATTTATGCATACAACATGTTGACCTGATTACCGGGAAGTTTATGAAAATATTGGTTTAGTTTAATAGAGATCTGAAAGGGGAAAAATGGTTCAAGATAAGCCATGCCTACGCAAATATTTGAGGGTTGTTAAGAGACAATGCCAGGACAGGAGAAGGCCCAGGAATACTGGAGATCAAAAGAAATGTGACACTGTGAAAGGATCGGGAGGAGAGGGCAGTTCTTTGGAGGAATGTGACTGAAACACATGGACACTACTAAGGTGTTTGAAGAAGTTAGACCTGCCAGTGTTACCATCATGGGATGATAGGCCTTTAGGTAAGATAGCCATGTGAACTGTTTGTTTTAAAATATTTTTTTATCTATATGTTCCTACTGTTAAAACAACCAATACTTTGGTTTAAGAAGACTGTGTGGTCACTGTATACCTACTGAGTAAGCACAGTTGATACATGGGGTACTGTGGGCCAGGGCCTGAGCTTCCAGTGAGAGGATTGTGGCATTCCATTCCAGGATAAACAGACACATTGGGGTGCAGACAGATAATACTTATGTCAGATTAACCCACCTACATAGCTCAGATCTGTGTAGAACAGCAGTTACGTTGCAGTTTACCCAGTCATAAGAGCTCTTATGTAGGTTTCAACTGTTGAGATACGGAGGCTCTTATGTAGGCTTCTGCTGTTGGCGCACAGATTCCAGAAATCCTGTGTTCCTTTGGGAATCAGATAAGCATTAGTTCATAGTGCTTATTTGTGCCACACAACTGTCCAGATGTCAGAATCTTGTTCTTCATGTTCTATTATTCTTTCATCTCCAAATCAATTGTGTTTTTGCAGCTGCATGCTCTGCCCATTCACCTAACTTTATCTCTTGAACAGTAGCAAGAATATGGTATCTATCACAAAGGGGCAGTTAGCTTCTGACTTTAGGCCTCTTTGAAACTTTACAATTATCTTCAGCAGAAAAATTCTTCTTCTCTCACCACCAAACAATATTCAGGCTGAAGATATCTGAATGAGTATTCGATGGATGCTCCAAATCAGGGCAGAATATCCTCAGATAATTGGGCATGTTTTTCTTATGATGCAGAACTTATTTTCCTGCTAGAAACACAATTTGACATATATCTTTAGTGACCTTTCTAATGTGACTGGGTTAAGGACTTCTCTTCAATGTGTACAAGAGGATAGACCATCCTAGAAACAACATGTGTAACTATCCCCATTCTCTTTCATCCAGCCTATTATACTGGTTTGGCCCTCTTGCGGTACTCTTCAAAAGCACAAAGATCACATCTTTCTTCCTTCTTTCATCCACTTCCAGTAATACTTCTGGTTCTGCTCCAGAGGTGACAGAAGTATTTCATAGCCAGAATACCTTTCCAGATGGTCTGTGAAGTTCCGTTCACATATTCCCCCTGTGTCCTACATTTCTCAGCTGCCAAAACTTCTTGTGAAAGTCAAGGAATCTACAAGCTAAAGGGTATATTATTCACTATATAGGCTACATTTTCATCTACATTTTGATAGTCTTGCTATCAGTCCTTCAAATGATTTAATTTATTGAACCGTTCTAATGGCACAGTGGGCAGAACTGTAGAAAGCATTGAATTTGTGGTGCTATATCTAAGGTGACCAGGGTAGGGGATTTCCCCTATGTCAAGCCTTTGTGATTGGGGCATTCTAGTTCTTCCCAATTCGAGTAATGCCAGGAAATGGATTGCTGAAGCAGTTACAGTGACCAAAAGAGTCATTTTATGGAAACAAAGATCAGCTGTTTCCCTCACATTCTTTGTTCAGCTAACTAACCAAACCAAGACTGACCTCTTGAAAAAACTGACATTAATTTAGGGACACACAAAATCCAAATGTGAAAGATGTTTGGTCTTTCATGGGACTATTACAACTGAAGTCAGGTAAATTAGGCTTCTCATGCATCTCCCCATTTTTTTAGTTTTGTGCTGGGAGATTAAGGAATTATTTATCTTGTAACACTCAAGAACATTTATCTATGAATATTTCATGCTGTGTTATTGTTAAATCCATACTTCTGCTGTTTTCTTTGTCATTGAACTTGACTATATCTGTATGGATACAGTAAGACTTCTGAAAAATAATTTTAAAAGTGAGATTTCCTCATAACTAAATTTTGTGGAGAAAATACCCTATGAGAAACAGTTCTGGTACTTTTGACTGCAGTGACATTTTATTACTATTTTGTCTTTTAAAGATTTGTATTTATTTGGTACTGAGGATATAACTACAGTAGTAAGCAAACAAGGGTTATAAAATCTAATTACAATTTTTTATAATGCCATTTCTATGGAGTATTATAAAGTGCTTTATAATAAATTGGATAGAGCCACTTTCATACAGACATCATAATGTACAAAGGTGAAGCTGGAGAAAAGAAACTAAGATAGAAAAAACAGCAGTGTTGGCTCTAGGTTAAAGTGAACAGGGATCAATTTCAAGTGAGACTTGAAGAAAGGGAATGACTCATCTGTGACTCAGGGAATGGGAGGGAATTCCAGCTAGATAGGGGAAGTACAAATGCAATAGCAGTCTTTGACTCAGCAGAACTGTAAGAATACTGGAAAAAAATACCAGCATTTAGAGAAGTCATTGTTGGGTGTAGCACAAATATGTGGATTAAAGATCAGTTCATTAGGGTGAAAGGGGTCCACAGAGGACTTTGAAACCCAGAGGAAACAATTTTGTATTGAATTTGGAAATTCAATTCCAGTGCCAATGATAGAGGATATAATCTTTCTTCTTGGAATAAAAGTAGACTTGCTGCAGCATCCTGAGTCCCCTGAAGTTGAGAATAAAAGTTTAGGATGACCACAAAGAGAGATCTGCAATAGGTGAGAGAAGGAATGTTGAAAGTGTGTGAATAAAGATTTTAGCAGAAGCAAGGTTGAGATAGGGATTCTGACAGTCTTCCAGAGCTGGTGTTAGGCATGTTGACAAAGGAGTTGCAGGAAGAAAAAAAAGGAAGCCCAGTATGAAGAATGACTTGAACGTTTCTCTCCTGGTGAGCAAACTAAAAGTAAATTTTAGTTTATTGGCACCTAGTGTTCAAAGGTCCCTGAATGCTTTAACAGATAATATAACAATATATTAACAATGGAGTAAAGGCTTGACAGGGAGAGAGAGATGCTGACAATATTATCTTTGTAATATCAGAGAGGCACTACACAAGAGCTAGATTGTGCACCGCTATGGGGTCAATTAAAATATGGTGTTAAAAGATCCTTTCTCTTAATCTTAGGTTGTGCTGTAACAGAAGGCTCTAGTTATATCTGATATGAATATGAGCATGAGGAATTAGCCTAATTTTCAGAGTCACTGCTTCACATAAGTGATGGTTTTCTTCTTCTGTGTGATGAATTTGAGGGTCAGTCCCAAATCCCTGTTCCTTATTTGTTCCTTTAGGTGTTCATGTTAGCTACCAGATGCACTTTGATGTTTTCAAAACTGTAAAGCAAAATCTTGTTATGGTATCTTCACATTAGCAAATGTTTTGTATAGGCAGTTCAGTCAAGAACTGATCCAAAGGACACTGAAGTGAGTGGTAAACTTGTTGATTTCAAAAGGCATTAGATAGGGTACATTGTGAAGATACAACTAAAGCTGTGATAAACACGCTGGTCCTTTTTACAGCCCTCGTGGAAGAAGTATATACAGCTCAACGAGAACGTGATGAAGCTGTCATGGCTAGACTTAGGTTAGCCAACGAAGAGCGAGATGAAGCACTTCTTCGAGCCAAACATTTGGAGCAATCCATTAAAGGGTATGTGTGTGTTTTCATCGTATGTAAGAAGATGACTTTTTATTGGAACCCAAAGGAAACTTGATCATACTAAAAAGTGATCAGGTGGTAAATCTTAACAAGAATTTCAGTGTGATAGAATTTAAGAGGGTCTCAATATATCAGCACTATGTATAGAGTTTTTCTTTTTCAACATTATCAAATGAGGTCATATTTTTCTCCCCAGATGGAGAACAAAGCAAATGACTCTTGTTGGAAGCCCTCCTTCCCCCCCAAAAAACTGAATAAATCAATACAGATAAATCAGGGAAGTGTGACATTTCTTCACTTAAAGTACAAAGTTGTCAGTCAGAAGTTGCACTGTATAGGAAATCAATTGAGTCTTTGAGCCAACTAGACTCATTCATTTCAGCTAAATTTCTGCTAGTTACAGTGGAAGTGTGGAAAAAATTATGTGAATTACCCTCCTATTCTTTCTCTTTAAGGCAAAAGTCATCTGAATACAAGAAGAACTGGCTCTTTCAATTATCCATTCTCTTTATCTTTATATTTTTTATCCTTGTTCTCTTTTCCTCTTTCTTTACTGTTTCCTCACTTTTTTGCCTACCCCTAATTTTCTTCTTTCTCATTTTTCATCAGTACATCCTCCCTAGTTGACCCTTTATTTCTTGTTTATCCAACAATTCCCACTTCCTCCCACTCAAATGCACTTATACAGCAACAATAGAGCATTCTTTTTTAATCATTTCCCTTGATCATAAGAATTCAGGTGGCTTTGCCTGATTATTACAGAGTAAATTCACTAATTGCCATATTAGGTGACTACACTTGTCTTAAATGTCAAAGATCAGATGTCAGGTATGGGTTGATTTCATAGCCTAGTGTGCATAAGTGGCTATGCCAGATTTAGGGTCGTGAAGACTAGTGCATTCAGAGGCATGGGGTTAGTACACTGTCAATTGCTGTGTGGCAGAGGGATGCTTGAAGGGTGATCTCTGACAGCAGCATCACAGTACAAATTACATGTTGTTCTTGAGCAGACATTGGAAGTTGGATGATTACAGTGTCTGCTCCTGAAATGTTACATTACAGCCTGTGCCAGAACTGCTTGCTCTTAAGCTACTTTGTATGTGCTGAGTCCCCCATTCGATTAAATATCTATGAACTGGGCGAGGCTGCACTTCTTTAGTGTTTAAATTTAATTTTTAACAAATTGTTAGTCTTTGTATTTTAGACCCCCCAAATAAATAAATAATTTTTTTCTGTAAATAAAATGTTTAACTATTATAGTTAACTTTTAATTACCATAGAAAAAAATGTAATGTTTTGTTTAATCACCTCTGTAGGCAGAAATTTGTGCTATTACTCAGAGCTATTGTTCTCTGAAACAGCAATTAGCAATCATTTGGCAAAACCGTTTGCTGCTACTTTACATCTGGCATATAAGTAAATGTGCCAGTGCAACAGAGAGAGTGCAATATTTTTTCCCAGTATTAAAGAAGGGCACCACAGGAGGCTTAATTTGACTCCTATATTTTATGATGGGATAAAACAGAAACAATTCTAAGTGAGTTTTAACTAAGATATTTGTCCTCCTAGGGAGACGGAAGAATTACATTGTTAAAACACACACACACACACACACACACACACACACACACAAAAAAAACCAACTGTCCCATTTATTTTGGGGTGCAGTAAAGCCAACAAGAATATCGTTTCAGGTTAAAGTTGTAAGTCCAGAAATAAATAAAATAACAGCACCAATGCTTTCTATCACTAGGGAACTTTCTTCATCTAAGCACATATGAACAATTGATCCTTGTAGTCATATATAGCAGTAAACATTAATAACTTAACAGTCTGAAGTCAGTGCTGAAGATATGGAGCATTATTGAAAGATGGAGTCGAGCAGGTGGCACTTTAATATGTTCAGTGTCATGGTTGACTCTAAAGACTAGTAGAATGAAATTACTTGAGGTTCTAAAGATTTAAAAAGCGAACTCATTTTGCTGCACTAAGGAAATGCTACTGATCAGGCTTTCTGTGTCCCTTTTTTCTAGGCTAGAAAATATTAACCCTGAAGAAAATGACATGGTAAGCCGTTCTCTGAGGAGATTTCTTGATGTCAGTCTTATATCTTAGAGGCTTAAGTTCAATTGAGTGGGTTTCAAGAACTAAGATGTGGGAAAAAGAAGAATTGACACACTAATAATGTACATCTTTGCTGCAATATGAAAATTCAATAACTTCACTCAGTCAATTTACAATTCACATGTGCCTATTAATTAAAACCCTATATTAAATAAAATATATTAAAACTTCATGTCTGACTAACATATAATGCTGTTGGTAGACATTACAGGAATTACTGAACAGAATAAACAATGCAGACACAGGGATAGCTATACAGAAGAATGGAGCTATAATTGTGGATCGGATACACAGGACCAAGGAGCGTAGAAAGAAAATAACAGCTGAGGAAATGAATGCAGTGATAGAAGAACGGGATGCTGCTTTGTCTCAAGTAAGTCCCCACTAGTATATAAAAAGCACTCAGGGCCTAAATCTCTCTCCTCCTATCTTTGGGGGAACAAATTCTTCCATGTGTTTCCTGTTCAAAGTTTGCTTTTTAAAAGAGCCTTCTACATAGAAAATTCCTGAACACTACACAATTACTGTAGTAACATAGGAATGTTATTTAAAATGACCTTAACAACATTTGCAAGCCACTGTTCGGAGAAAATATTTTTTTCTGATATTCCAGGTTACAAAAGATGCTTCTCGGTGGTTTTCTCTCCCTCTCCCCTTGTTTAGGCTTCCAAAGTACAAACCTTTTTGCACTGCTCAGGGCTCAGATATGCAACTATTTGTGCAGTTGTAAATGGGTATGAAGGGTGCAGAGTAACAGTTCACTGGGCCATAAATATTTGTAAAGCTGAACTATTATAAATGACAGAGACATTTTGTCACATATAATTACCCTTTAGGACAAGCAAATTTTTTCCTACAGTTCTGCATTGAGGATCTGAAAATCAGGTTCCTGATGTGCTGTTCTGGTGTCCGGTGTCCTTTGTCTCTTTTATTTTACTCGAGAAGTTTGATGTCCCTTCTTGTTCCTGATACATCTCACAGCCCCTTCCATATCCTTGGCTTTACTAAAGAACATATTTCCCTTCCCTGAAGCTGGCAGAAACACTACCTGCTCCTCCGTTGCTTCAGTGGGCTAGAGTCGTACCTCACCACAGAATAGCTTTGGGTTTTGTGCCCACTCTTGGTTGCTCCTAGACTTAGTACTTGATATGACTTTACACGTTCCTGGGTTCTGTCGTTTCAGATCAGGTCACAGGGATAGGCAGATCATGTTGTGAGTGCACCAGGGGGAGAATAAAGGGATTTGAGGTAGGAGGTAATACAGCCATTAAGCACTCACATCGTTCAAGAGCGGTGATCTACCTCTGCCCCTCAGAGGGCCAGAAACCCAGCATCTTCCCCAGACCTTAATTACGTAAATTATCCATTTCCCAAATATCACACTTTTGGGGATTAACTAGTTTTTAAAGTAGGGTTTATGGTCTTAGTTGTTGAAAACATGAATTATGTTCTGTGCAAGTGTGAAGTAGAGCCTACAGCCAGGTAGGCAGCCTTGACCTCCCCTCATCTGGTAAACTCCCATTGTTGGTGACCACTCAGGTCCTGGATAAGGGAGGTCCGACCTGTAGTTCATTCTTTGCTCAGGACAGATGTATTAAAAAAGAGAATGTCTGAGGACATCTCTTGGAACAGTTGCTTTGCAGCAGCAGATAGTATGAATTGGAATTTTATACATATCGAAGCAACTAAAGACAAATTCTGCTCTTGCTGTGCAGGAGGTGTTTGTGTAGGGGTTGGATGCAGAGTTAAAAAAAAAAAAGGCTCCTGCAGCAGGGAAAGGGGTGGAATAAGAGGAGCCCATGGCACTGGAACTATTTTTAGGGTAGGGACACTGGGCTGTACCCCCTAATCCCGTTCATGCCCTTCATCACCCCAGACTGGTTACACCTAGGATGCTGGCATCTGTTCCAGGAGAGTTGGCAACCTTGCCATAGCTGGAGGCATTTGGACATCAAGTGGCTTTGTAGCCTCCAGGTCTGGTGGCCTGGAACCCATGGACAGCGAACAGCAGAGCCCATGGGGATGATGGTCAGCAGGACCCCAGGGGGTGCTGAAGCCAGCGGGGCTGGCCGGACCACTTGGAGGCCTCCTGGTAGAGAGGCCAGCCCTTGAGCACAGGGAAGCTGGGTAGAAAACCTAGGGGTGCTGCATCGCCTCCCAATCTGTATTTCCTGTACCTACTTTTATGAGAGTCTTCGGTCCTTGGTCCTGTTGTGGGAGCTTATTGAAGCTGCACGTGGCCACATCATAGAGATGTCCAAAACCTATCTACCATTAAAGTATAAGGTCTTGTGTTGGCCTTCTGTGCAAGTGTGAACATCCATCACAATGTAGTGGGGTTTGGGATTTCTGCAATAAACAGATAATAACTGATAGAGTATAGCTGATAGAATAGCCAAGGAATAAGTGAGTAGAGAACTGTAAATGACAAGAGTTTCAAGTAAAATTATTAAATTATTTGAGCAAAACATAATTTGCCAAATCACTGATACTTCAGGATGTATTAGTACTTTTATTGACTTTTCAGCTATTTTTAATAAGTCGATGAAATTATAAAAATTAACCAGGCTCACAATTTTGGTATGATCTTTAGCTCTTCTTTCTCCTCCTATACCATATCTAGTCTCTTGGTAATTATTTTTATTTAAAAAAAAAACTTATTAGCAACATGGTCACTGGTGAAACATGCAAAAATCCCATGAAAAGTTTATGCTGTTTTTAAAAAATTATTGTTATTATTATTAGCTTTTCTTACACAGGACATTGAAAGCTGGGCAACCAGTAATAGAAAAGATTTCAGCAAAGGAGGAGAATATGCTTGGGTTTTTAATTTTTGGTTTGTTGCTTTCATGCTTTTTTGTGAAATAAGAATTGTAATCTTGGCCAGTAAAACCGATAAACTTTTGATATCACAATTTGGCTAATATGGGAGCTGATGTATACACAAAAAGGCATAAATATGTCTTTTTAAAAAACCTGTTTCCTTGCATAATCTCACAGAATCATGTACGATACGTTGCTTTCTCAAATAATTAAACCAAGCATTAATAAAAGGTCAGTTATTCCACACAGTAATGGCTTAGGTGCAAAGAGCATCAGAGCCAATTTACAAATATATCTGTATAATACACAGGTAGTTTTAAATCATGCAGGTCATATTAAAAATTGTGATGTGAATTATATTGTGCTACCAATGTTTGATGCAAGCAGTACTATTTCATTAAATGTTCAGGAAAAATCCTACTACTATGAATCGTAAATTAATAGAACTCTATGAAATTTACTTATGGAAAACCTAACTTTTATGTTTACATCTGAGAAGCTCTTACAACTAAAACTAATATTCTAGAATATGTAAGATAAGTCTTAAAATTGTGGCCACCATTTCAAACCATATTTCTTAGTTGATAATGTCTTGGGTACTTGTGCAGTATACAAATTACTAGTCTTTTGTTAAGAGCATGATAACAGTTATTACAACCTATTGTCAAGAAAAATAGGAGATGGAATCTTGCATTAGATCACAGAGTTGCCTGAAGGTAACTCAGGTTGTCTATAGTTATACTGCATCCAACCCAAATTATTATAATTTACATCTGGGTCTGCCACAGGTGTTGGTAGTATGAGATTTCTCCATTTTCTGTGGACATAAAATCAAGTTCACATGAAGACATGTCATAAATATTGACATTGGTCACACCCAGAGGGAGATATTTATTGACTGTCATTGTCCTATGGAGCATACTTATTAAGAGTTTTGAATTTGTGAAACTCTGTAAAAGCTACATTCTCCTACACAACTTGCTACTACTGTAAAATCTCGAATATAATGCACACCGATGTATAATGCGCATCCTGACTTTTGAATTTTATCATAATGAAGAAATCTATACTCCTATATATAATGCGCGCCCTGACTTTGCCCATTGTATGTGTATTTTATGATACCCGTCGTCATTGATCCGAAGGCATTGTTAAAAATAGTCTATTTGATTGCAAGTCTATGGTATGCCAGCACGTCGTATTTCCTGCCTTTTTGTATTGCCAGTTGATTGCACATGACTATAGAATATGCAGCGTTTTGACGCTCTATTACCTTTACATACGGTTGATTTTAGTAATGTTTATAACTTATTTTAATAAATGTCAGCAATTAATTAACTATAAACTATTTCATACGACAAGTAAGACGTAAATTTCATATTATTTATTGTTTTTAAATATTTTAAAGCATTCTAGGAATCTCTGCCATTTCAGGTGATGTTGATTTCATGTTTACTGCCATCTTAGCGTGGCGTCAGCATAGTAGAGGTTCGTCATCTTCTGACATGGAATTGCCAAAATAAAACTTTAAACAATAACTCCTATATATAATGCGCACCCCGACTTTGACCCAAAAAAGCTTGGAAAAAAGTGTGCATTATACTCGAGATTAAACGGTATCTGGTGAAGGAGCATCTGTGCCACTTGAGTTATCAGCATAACTGATGTCATGCAAGCAAGAACTTCCTGCCTGTTTTCAGGGTTTTATAGGGGGTAGGCTTAATGAGGCTAAACTATTAATCTTATGAATGAGGCCATTCACAACTTGACACGTGAGAGTTAACTGCAATTTACCTGAACAGCATCTAGCTCTTCTGGTATTTTTTATAATTTTTTTCCAAATTTTCTGAAGCAGAAACTATAACACAGAAAGCCACTTATAAATTAGGTTTCAGTTGGACAATATTTAAGATTCTTAAATAATGGATGCGCTGTAATAAATTGCGTGCCCTCTACAAGCATGTAAATATAGTCTTGAACTAGTCTTTTAGGTGTGATTTTTGTAGTACATTATGGTGGTTTTATTATATTAGATTATTGCACTCCATTTAATTAGACTGCTATTGTGCATATTCTTGGCAATATTTAACTTGTTATATTTCAGGACTTTAAATTTTATTTGAATTTTTCACTGCTGCACAACCTGGAAATGCTCTCTAATTTTTAGGAAGTGTGGTAAAACAGTCCTTTCTGAACTACAAATATCTAGGTTTGTTTTGAGATTTTTAATGTGATCACTTTGTCTTAACAGAGAGATGGACACTATTATCATATTGAGCTGCACATGTGTATATAATCTTAGATTGTTCACTAGATTGCTTAGCAAATATGCAAACTACATTTTGTATGTGCAAAAACAAATAAAATGATATAAACTCAAATATTTGATACTACTTTTAGTATGTATTTTCAAGTGAATAAAAAACAAACAACTAAAGTATGACTAAACATTGACATTCATCCCTTCTTACCCTTCCACGCTCACCATCAACCATTTTTTTAGAAAAACAAACTCACCCATTCGGTTGTATTTGCCAAGATATATTTGTT